CACGTAATTTAAGAAGGGTTGCCATAAGGAGACAAATTTAGAAATAGTATTATCTCTAATTAACGCTGTTAACTTCGCCATTTGAGCCAAATCCATTAATTTAATGATCCATTCTTCCACTGTAGGTATTTGTGGATCCTTCCATCTTTGTGCATGTAACAGTCTTGCAGCTGTGATCATATACAAAAGCAAAGTTCCATGTTGTTTCTCCAGTCCCTTCTCCGTCAAACCCAATAAAAACAGTAATCCATTAATTTAATGATCCATTCTTCCACTGTAGGTATTTGTGGATCCTTCCATCTTTGTGCATGTAACAGTCTTGCAGCTGTGATCATATACAAAAGCAAAGTTCCATGTTGTTTCTCCAGTCCCTTCTCCATCAAACCCAATAAAAACAGTTCTGTTTTTTTTTTGAATGCTCACTTTAAGAATCTTTTGAATAGCAATACATAGCTGATCCCAAAAACACAGGCACTTTTTGTTGAAGGGAGAGAAGCAGAAGTCACAGAAGTAAAATTTCTGAGAGGTTAGTTTATAATACCTTGCATGAAGAAAGAGAAAGGAATAAATTGCTTGAATAAATTGATTGCAGCAGCCATTTATTCTGACCTTTATATTTTTAACATCTTGCCATGCACGTAGACCATTTACTCGGAGAGTCTTATTGAGAAAATCATTCTTCTTCCCCATGGGTTTTGCTCCCCTGTTTAGCATTCAGTCTGAAGTGTCCTTTGAAGGCGCTTATGGAAATCTCAAGCGCCTCTACGACAAGGCGGCCAAAATGTACCACCAGCTGAAGAAGTGCGAGACGCGGAAACTGTCGTCAAGCAAAAAGAGGTAAGAGGGCAGCCCCAGTGGTCCTCCAGAATTACTCAGCCTCCAGTCTGGGCTTTCAAAGGTAGAAGCAAGCTGAAGTGACCAGCCACTGATCTGATGGACAGCTGTTGCCGTAGTTGGCCATTGAAGCCAGTTTATCCAGCCTAAACCAAGAAGCGCTTTAAATCAGCCATTTTCTGACTCTTTCATGGCTGAAGACATCACTGCAGGATGCTGTGCCAGACATTCCGTTCCTTCATTGCTGTGTTTTTCAAACTTGGCAACTTTAAGATGTGTGGACTCCCTTGCTGGCTGGGGCATTCTGGGAGTTGAAGTCCACACATCTTAAAGTTGCCAAGTTTGAAAAACACTTGAAAAACAAGTTCAAAGCCCACTGTTTTCAGCTAAAATTAACCCAGCTTACCCCCTTGGTTGCCAGTTCGGCTGCCAATTCGCAGAAGATTGCCTTGCTCAGTTATCTTGGGAAGGGGAGTGAAGGGCTCCTTCTAACTGACTTAAATTGTTTCTGTTTTGTACCCTGTGTCCTGACCCTGCTTGACCATAGTTTATAAGAGGGATGCCCTTGGGCAGTAATCTTAGACTAGACTTGCCTTGGGTAGCAAAAGTTTCCACTTGAAGAAAACCAGTTTGTTCAGCATAAAGGAGGCCTTGGGCATGCAAAGGTCTGATGTAAACAGGGTGGGGAAAAAATGCAGAATTTTTTGTCTCTGTTATGATTCCCTCCCAGAAATTACCTAGAAATAATATTTTTTGTGAAAGGGTGGAATACTCCAAGGGTTTGTGTACATAATGCTAAGTGGGTGCGTTGAAGCCAAATGCAGCCCTTAAACTAGCCTATTCTGATCTAGGGAAATGTGCCTGGCTAGATAGTGTTCCCCTGCTTATACCCATTTTACCAATAGGAAAATTCATGCTGGGAGAGAGAGAAGTCTCTTATTCAGGATTAATTAGCTGCGTGTAAGCCTTTGATAGGATTTAAACTCCATTTTTATAACTCCAAGGCCAGTGCTTCTAAGGTGTAGCTTCCCTGACAAGTTTGTTTGTTTATTCATTTATTTATTAAATATATATGCCATCCAACTCCCAGCGACTCTGGGCAATTTACAAAATGTTAAAAAAAAATTAAGAAAACATTGGGGGAAAAAAAGAACAAAGATAGCAACAATAACTAACCCAGATGGGAGCAAAGAAAAAGAAGAAAAGGGAACTTCAGTCCCGCTTGCCAAAGGCCTGAGTGAAGAGCCAGGTCTTTAGGGCCCTTCGAAACACCAGTAGAGGGGGACCGTTCAGGTCTTGAGAACCTCATTCCAGAGGGCAAGTGCTACTCCAGAGAAGATGCGCTTCTGTGTTCCTGGTTAGATGGCCTTGTTTAATTGAAGGAACCCAGAGCACGCCAACCCTGCCAGATGAGATCGGCCAGGAGATACTTTGAGAGACAGGCAGTTCTCATGACATGAGAAGATATTTTGGAAGCAGGTGTTCTTTTCTTCACAAGACCTCCCTCTGCCCTCTAGTTCCATGCAGGGCTCCTACAGTTGGGACTTGCATTGCATCTCCTTCCAAATTTGGGGACTTGTGCACCACATACCAAAATGCTCCTGATTTCTGATTTTGTCCTCGTGGGCATCTCTGTTCTTTGTGGAGAAAATCTGAATCCTGCAGTCTGTATCCTTTATGGTGCATTTCGATAATTTTGCACATACATAATTTGGCCTGCAGTTTCTCCTATTTTGCTGAACTTGTGGGAGAGGAAGTGTCCCCTTTTGCAATTTGAATCTCACAGGAGTAAATACTTTCAAATATTTTGGGGGTTGTTCTGGGAATGACTATTAAAAGAGAGCAGCAAAGAACAGGAATAGTGAGAATTCTCACACTGAATATGTTGTGGTCAAATTGATGATGGCCCTTGCAACCAAATACAGGGGTCCTCATTTAACAACCACTTGGTCAGCGACCATTCAGACTTACAGCAGCACTAAACGAGTGGTACTTATGATCAGTCCTCAGAGCTCCAGCTGTCGCAGCGTTCCTGTAGTCACATGATCACAATTGGTGACCTTCCCTGCTGGCTTACCATAAGCAAAGTCAATGGGCAAGCCGGGAGGAAGTCACAAGTCATGGTCACGTGAGGTCCTCGCTTAACAACAGCAACTGGAACTGCCAGAATTGCCATTGCTAAGCGGTGCAGTCACATGACATCACGCTTTACAACTATGTCGCTTAGCAACAGCAATTCTGGTCCCTATTGCTGCTGTTAACCAAAGACTGCCTGTATGTCTCAGCACACTCTGAATGGGAAATAATCATGAGAAAAACACTGGAGGAATTTTTTTTCCCCCAACACTTCACCTTTGTCCTCTTTGCTTTCTCTCATTGCTTTAAAAAGTGCAGTATTAATATCTCCATCAAGTTTAAGGATGTTATTTGCTGTTCCAGTTCTCAGCAGTGGCTCTTTTTGAGGCAAAAGACTCTGTGATTTAAGGGTTTAGGAGAAGGTTTAAACCAGGGGTCCTCAAACTTTTTAAACGGGGCCAGTTCACGGTCCCTCAGAATGTTGGGGGGCTGGACTGTAGTTTGAAAAAAACATGAACGAATTCCTATGCACACCAGATCTGCTGGACCCGGCATGCCTGTCATGTAGAATAGTCCGGCTCTGCGATCTCCCTCCTTGTGCATCGCCTGCAGCTCCTGACACAGCCCCGACACGTCTGCTTCTGACAGACAGCAGCGGCAGCCAATTAGGCGGGCGGGCCGGATAAATGACCTTGGTGGGCCGTATCTGGCCCGCGGGCTGTACTTTGAGGACCCCTGGTTTAAACATCGGTTATCCAAAGATCATGTTCATTCAAAGAGATAAGATTTTAAGGTGAAAAGAGTTTCGCCAAGGTTTCCCTCCAGACATTCTTTCTTGCCACGAGCAATTAGGTGAGTGACAATTCACAAAGTTTGTCTGACTTGTATCAAAACCTACTAACTGCTCTCTTTTTCTTCCTTCCCCACTCCCAAATTTGGCAGGTGCAAAGACATTAAAAGGTTACTGGTGAGCTTCATGTATTTACAGAGCCTCTTTCAGCCAAAGAGTAGGTAAGTCTCCTATGTAGCGATGGCCAGTAAAACTTCCCACTGAAACAACCTCCAGATGCCATAAAAAAAAGTTTCAAGGATGCTCTTTCTTGACGGGAGAAGTTGCTGGCGGAGCTGTTTAACTTGATAAAGTGTGTGTGTGTAGTGTATTTAATGTTCGAGGCAAAAGCATTGGTCGTAGGTTTGCTGGTCAGCAAGGAAATGTGCTGTCTATGTGTGTGGCCTAGGAAGAAGATACCTGCCTTGCTGGAAATAATATTTAAAAGCTGCAAAATAAAATAATTACCTCCTCCCCGTGGGGTAGCAGCTTATTAATTGGTTTCAACAAAAATCCCAGTGCGTTAGGCTGTTGAAAGTCTTAAGCACATTTTTTACCACAGAGTTTCTCCAATGAGGTGAACTCTAGTCAGTATAACTTGCACCATGGTGACTTTGATAGTCTTTTAAGATGTATGAGATTTTGACTTTTAATTGTTTTAATATTGGGCAGAGCAAATGTTAAGTCTTTCATTGTTTTCTTAGCTACTTTTTAGCATACTGCCCTCTGGTTTTTTGGTTTTTTGCTTCTCTTAGTGGCCCTCCTTTTTCTCTCTTGGATCTCTGGTCGTGCAGCTGAAGGCAGGGAGGACTGGGTCTCTAGGTTCAGGTGCAGCCCCATCTCAAGACTGCCTGCCCTGACAGATTCCCCCTCACTGGCTTACTGGGGATTTGCTGGGAAGACCCTGTTCAGGGGGCCACACATCCACTGTCTCCTGAGCTGAGTTGTGGGTGCCAGACAGCCTCATGGTTGCAACAGCTGGCCCTCCCTGGACAGCAGCGTTTTGATCCTCTGCAGCTCCATGTTCCTCTTATCTCTCCTCAGTTGTGCCGACTCGGAGCTGACGTCTCTCTGCCAGTCCGTCCTGGAAGATTTCAACCTCTGCCTTTTCTATCTGCCCTCTTCACCCCACGCGAGTGCCACCAGTGAGGAGGAAGAGGAGTGGGAGAATGGCTGCTCCTTCCTGCCAGACTTGCTCATCTTCCGCATGGTTGTTATCTGCCTGATGAGTGTTCACAGCCTCAAGAGGGCAGGTAACTGGCAGAGCTCACATGTTCTGAGCTGGGAGGCTCCAGGTTCCAGATTAGCAATCAGTGTAAAGGTCTTCCTTCCACGCCCTCAGGTGACACCCTTTGCGTGTTGGCTGAACGTTTTCTTGGAGACCTGCTTGTGGCTGGGTCTCCTCTGGCTCCTTCTCCACATTATAGCTGAAAGGGGTCAATGCAGCACATAAAAAATAGTAAATGGAAGCGTAAGAACAACTGTAAACCACGTTAATACCAGAAATAATTTTAAAGATTCACCCAGCATAGAAGTTCCTCGCTCTTTTCCTCAGAATGAGGGCCCACCATATTTCTGGAGTATGGGGTGACAGGAGAAAGCCATTTCCTTTGTGTCCAATGAATGTCCCTCCACAGGTGTGCTCATCTTCACCAAGCACATCTATATACTACTAAGACTCTCGTGTCTGTTTGAATGTTTGATTTCATGGCTGAAACTTCAAAGATTGTGCTTAATTTTTTTTAAATCCCCAGAATATGGTGTCAGATTTAATGTTGACTGTGTTCTAAGGAATTTCAGTAGTCTTTTGAGATGGGTGCATGTTGTGGAGTCACTACCTTCAGAACGCCTTTGCAACTGTTCTCATTGGCTAGGTTTGCACAAAATGTCAATATTTTTATTGGGAAATATAACAAAGAAACAATAACAACAAGATACACCAGCGATTGTTTTGTAAAAATATTACAGCATAGTGATTGAAATAAACATAAAAGGGGATAAAGCAAAGAAAGAAGACCATGTAATATCAATATAAGATTAATTCAATCCTTAAACTTCTGTCTAAATCATATAGAAACATATTGCTCCATCTTCTCATTTTTAAAATATAAAAGCATTTCAAAAATTGGTAAAAAAATGCATACCTTGAATCCATTCCTTAACCTAAGGATCATAAGTGTCTTTCCACTGTGGTTCAACATAGTGTGGGCAGCCAGCCCCATTTACACCAGTTGCTTGGTAATAATTGTTTGTTAAACCAGAACATGGTTTCTTTGTTTGGGTCCTGTGCGTTCTTTGAACATGCTTGTCTTTTCTTAAACCAGGTGTAATTGTGGCTTCTTATCCTCATTCCCTCTTTCTGTGCAGGCTCCAAACAGTACAGTGCGGCCATTGCATTCACCCTGGCCCTCTTTTCACATCTGATCAACCACGTCAACATCCGCCTCCAGGCAGAACTGGAAGAAGGAGAGAACCCAGTTCCAGCCTTCCAGAACGACGGCACCGGTAAGGACGTGGTGTTCCCTTGAGAGCTGCTCCTTGTGCAAATCCCCCCCTTATCCTGGTAGCAAGGCACCTCAGGTCACACAGGAGCCCTTTGGCCCCCTCAGCCCAGCTCTTTAGGGGCAATCCACAGACAAGTTACCAACATATTATTTAGTTGACTAATCGATTGCAGTTCTGAGTGCTTAAAGCAGCATAAATGGGAGCCGGTCCTAATTTTACTTCTGGATTAACAATTGGCTGTACTGATTGGGAATGACTGGTCCAAAGATACACAGTAGGGGCTGGCTGAGCAAGGACTTGAGTCTCTGTCTCTTTGGCCCCAGTCCAGCACCAAAATCACTGTACGACATTGGGTTGTGTTTCAAGGGTGTAAACCTTTGCCCCAGCAAGAACTGATTCAGATGCTTGTCCCCTCCCCTGCACCTGATGGGAAACAAAACAGAAGAGCAAGAGCGCAGAGATTGGGGGCCAAGCTCTGATTCTGACCCACAAGAGGTGGCTAAACTTCATGACGTGATTAGATGATCTCAGGAAGGTTTCGTCAGGAAAGAAAGCTCCGATTTGATAGCCTCAGGTTATGCCACGGGGCAGCTGTGACAGTTTTGGCTTTGTCCTTGGTCTCCTCAGTGGTGCTGTTCAAGAAGTTGGCATGTCCCCAGGTGGATATCAATGCTGAATGCCTCCCTTCATGGCATTAAGCTTGTTTAAGCTGCCGTGGCTACAGTGGAGATTATAGTTACACCGTATAAGATTACTTAAAGTAAGGTTGCCTTATTAATTAAGTCTCCTAAGAGGGCGTGCAATTTCCTGGCCGTCTTGGCAGCAAACTGACTTTTTCAGATCAAGGATTCAGGCTTTCCAAGGATCTAGTAACTCTTAAGGCATGTTAAAAAAAACTAGGCAATTTGATTAGTAGAATGTATTCTTCTGTGGTAGCTTCCGGGAATGTGAGTCCTTGATCTGAAAAGAATAATTTTGGATTAAGAAAGCTGAAATTATATAATTTATGTTCATTTAATCAGTTTGATTCTTTATTTATCTATTATGTCAGTTATATTTCTATTGCCCTTGGCAAAGTTCCATGCAACTCTCATTCTATCAGAGCACCTTTTATCTTAGCTCCAGAGTTTCAGCAACTACCCACTTTTTAATGCATATTTGTACAGTCCAAAGAGTCTATTACTTTCAAAAGCAAAAAATTAGTATCAGAGCTGCATTCTGTATGTCTGTAGTTTTGCAGAAAGCTCTCCTCACCATCTGATTGTTCAACGTAGCCTTGCACAAGATACCTTCCAATTATTGGGTTTCTTTCTTTGTTTTTGTGTGCTGCTTGCAAAAAAGGAGAAGCTGTTATGGTCCACAAGAAATATTTCCAAAGCCACAGATGGGCAGATAAATTTATCGAGCACAACAAGATCTTGCAGTGAAAGGTTAACAAAGTTTCGGGCAGGTTGTTAAGCAAGGCAGAAGACATTTTTGGCTTGACCTTTCCAAGCTTGCATTTAATTTTATAGAATGAGTCTCACTTCAGTCTTAAGGGTAAAAATCTGCAGGGACAAAAAAAGCCTGAACATGCAATGGCCGAATGCCCCTTTTTTGAAAAATTAAAATTAAAAATTAAAAACATTAAAATTAAAATCCAAAAATTAACCTGAAAGTATCCAGGTCACTTGTGAAGGGAAAGAAGTACAGGTAGTCCTCTAGTTATGATGGCAATTGGGACCGGAATTTCCATTGCTAAGAGATGCGGTTGTAAAGTGCAATGTCACGTGACCACATCACTTAATGGCGGCAATCCTTGCAGTCCTCTGTTGCCGTTGTTAAGTGAGGATCATGGGTTGTTAAACAAGCAGCTCCTTGCAACTTCCTGCTGGCTTCCAACAACCAAATCAGTGGGGAAGCCGGCAGGAAGTTGCAAGTCCCAGATGGCTCACAAGCAGGCCGGCAGGCAGATAATTGGCTGCTACTGGGTGGGGGGGGGTGTGTGAGTGGGTGGGGGGGGGTAGTGTGACCTCAGGGAGGGTGGTGGGGGGGGTGGGGCACAAGCACAGCACGGCTTGGAGTGGCTGCTGCCGGGTGGGGGAGGGTATGTGAATGGCTGGGGCGGGTGTGGTGTGACCTCAGGGAGGGTGGTGGGGGAGGTATGGCACAAGCACAGCACGGCTTGGAGTGGCTGCTGCCGGGTGGGGGAGGGTATGTGAATGGCTGGGGCGGGTGTGCGAGCAGCCAGGGAGGCATGGCGTGAGCGCAGGGAGGCTTGGGGGCAGTGTGCGAGGATGTGCAGGTGGTGGGGGAGTTGCAGCGCAAGCACAAAGGGGCTGGGGGAAGGTTCGCAGGTGGGGGAGACTTACCCCAGTGACTTGCAACCTTCTGTGCCGGCTTCTCCATTGACTTTCTGGGGAAGCTGGCAGGGAAGGTCACAAACTGTGATCACATGACCACAAGATGCTGCAATCATCGTAAGTGAGCCAGTTGCCAAGTACCCAGATCACAATCACATGACCGCAGGGGTGCTGGAACAGCTGGAACTTCGAGGACCGGTCGTAACTTCGAACAGCTGCCAAATGAGTGGTTGTTAACCAAGGACTATGTGTAAAAGAAAACAATTGCGTTTTTATATAAAGAAAAGGGGAGATTAATTTTCAGTTTTGAGATTTAAAAACAGAAGATGAATTAGTGTTATGTTAATCTGCAGTTCCAGCCAACCCAGACAATGGTGATAGGTTGTTCGTGAGAATTCAGAGGTCATCTCCCCTTTGCAGATTCCCCCGTTCCCTCACTGATCCTCATGGTTGGGGGAATGTAATTGTCAGAGTAAAGCTATTTGAAAATTGAATAGAGGATCCCACTAATCCAAGCCTTTTGGAGAAAGGGCCAGAAATAATTATAAGAGAGAGGTTTTGTGTTTGTCCAAAGAGTTATGGCCTACCTTGATGCGTAACCTGGGTTCTTCACGGCTGCAAACCATGATAGAAGTGTACCCAAGCTAAGTGCACAAGCATTTTCAACCCCATTTCGCTGGGGTGGAACTGAGGAGTGGAGCTCTTTCTTTGCAAGGAAAAGGGGACCTCCAAATAAGACTGGGCAGCATCTCCCCCTTGAAACCCCTTGAGAGCAGCTGCCTAGTAAGAAGATGGAAAAAGCAGGTCTCGGAGCGGGTCTCGAGAGAAGACATTTTCTGTGCACAAGCACTCAATGTTACTCTTTTCTTACTGAAAGCTCCAGACGTTCCTCTGCTGTTGTGTAGAGCAGGGGTGGGTGACCTTGTGCCCTTTAGAGGTTGTGGCTATAATTCCCATAATTAGGGAGGAAGGGGCGGCCTGCTGAGCAATCGAGGCTCTAGCCTTGGTTTAAAATCTCAGCGCCAACTGCAGCAACTAACCGAGAAAGTTTGACTTGATGGCTCCGTCCTGGGGGGTCCTTGTGTCTCTTGGGTTTTGAGCTGCAGCCACAACGGGCTCTGTTTTGCAGAGGATCCAGAGGCCCGGGAATCGGCCAACTCTGCTGAGAGAGAAGCAGAGACCGACCCAGCCAGCCACCAAGACCCAGGGGAGCCGCGGCAGAACGAGAGCCAAAAGGGCAGGAAGTACTCGCGCCTGTCTTGCCTGCGCCGTCGCCGCCGGGCCCAGAAGTTGGATGAGAGCGACCTGAGCGAGGGCTTCGACTCCGACTCCAGCCCGGATTCTGCCAAAGGAAGCGGCGGCTCCGAGACGGGCTCTGAGAAGAGCGATGAGGAGGCGGAGGCCGCGTTTGACGTGGAGACCGATTCGGACATGAACAGCCAGGAGTCCCGCTCGGACCTGGAGGACATGGATGAGGAGGCGGAGGCGGAGGCCGAGGCGGGCGGTCGGCCCAGGGGGGCCAAGAACGGAGCCAGGGGAGCTTCAGGCTTCGTGGCAGGTGAAGGGGGTCGGCCGCTGGACTCGAAGGGCCATGGCGCCGCTAAGACTGAGCCTTTGGAGCCCGTGGCCAACGGGCCGGGCGCCTTGGGCAGCAGCGAGGCCAGCATAGCCAGCAACCTCCAGGCCATGTCCACGCAGCTCTTCCAGACCAAGCGCTGCTTCCGGCTGGCCCCCACATTCAGCAACGTTCTCCTCAAACCAGGCTGTGGGCCACCCGCCCCAAAGGAGGCAGCAGGAGACGGCAAGCCTTGCGTCAATGGGGACGTGGAGCGGTCTGCTGTGTCCGAGCCAGGTGAGCTGGGCGGAGGGGCTGGTTTGGGAATACGGATCAAAGACCAGGAAAGGGCAGGCATCTGGTGGGCCAGATCTGCCTGTTGGGCTGCGGATTCCCAACAGCGTCTTCTCTGCACGGGCCCTTTATAAACCTGGTTGTTGATCCTGAGCACGAGGACCTCCTGAGACACTTGCACACAGATGTATGGATGTATCTATACGGCAGGGAGTGTAACCTTTTTTATGTCGAACTTTGCTTTGGCCTTGGACTAATTTATTGGGGGCACTTCAGTTCAAAGGTACGGAGGGAGAGAACAAATTATATACTGTGTGCATAAACCAAAAAGAGTGCTTGGTCAAAACATGAATGTTTTTACCTCCTACAACCCTTGTGGTTCAGGCTGTAATGCTTTGGAGGAAGGGGGAATGTGCCATGCCATCCTTTGCTCCTGAGAAATGTGGAAGGCCCAGGCAGTTATGAATCAGAATAAACATCCTCGAGTTGAAAAGGACAGGAGGGGACAGTGGCTCTCTCCGCGTTTGCAAGAGAACTGCCTCTAATTGAAGCAGCTCAGAATGCAGGAGTGAAGTGTTCAGCTTGAGCCTTATATTCAGTCCTTTTAAAACTCAAGTTGAGGGCTGGCGAGAAGAGATTAATTTAAAAAATGGCCTAAAGCTGATTTGAAGCTTGTGTTATGGTTTCCATGCACTTCTAGTCTCAGAGTTATGGGAAACTGCTGCCACAGAAAAAGGTTCAGGGGCTTTGGCCCTGTTTTGCTTTAATGGCTCTTGTCAGGCATAGGCGGCTGTGCCCTCCAGATACTTGGACTGTAATCCCATAATCCCTTGCCATTGGCTGCAGGGACCACCACTGAAGGGAGTTGAAGTCTGGACTGTACGGAGAGTACAAGGCTGCCTACCCAAGTAAGAAGGCACAGCTAGCTGGCCAGGCACCCAGAAAGGGTGTGACGTTTAGGGACCTGTCCCCCTCTCTCCCAGTCCCACAGTTCTTGCCCCTTGTTCAGTTCTCCAGTCTCTTGAGTTTAACCACCCATTTCCCTGGTCAAAGACGATGTTTCTGAGTCGGAAGAAAGCATCTCCAGCAGCAGATCCTGCCGGAACGAGCGTTCTCTCCAAGAGAAGCTGGAGATTATAAGCAGCGAAGGGCTGCTGCCGACGGTCAAGGTCTTCCTGGACTGGCTGAGAACAAACACCGACCTCATCGTCATGTGTGCACAGGTGAGGGGGGGGTCTCTGCTGCCGAAGAGTGAGTATCTTCTCACCTCTTTTCTCTTGGTTTCTAGTGCTGGGTTGATTCCCAGGAAATGCCCCCGAAATCAGGAATGAACTTTGCTTGGTGGCCAAGTCATATAGGCAAAAATGGAAGTTAAAACATGCAAAAGAGGAGCTTTGCAAGGCTGGTTTAGCATTGCAGAGATTGGATGTGCTGGCATGCATCAGAGGCATCCTGACAGAGAATTTGATGCATTTTGCACAAGGCCTCTTAAATGTAAAGGATTATTTTGCCCCTTGAATGAGTTCCGGCTTTCTAAGCTTTCCAGAATTTGGGGACAGGGACCGTAGAGAATAGAGCAGCAAGTGAAGAACGCAGAAGGAGTCCTGTGTTTTGCAGACCCAGGGATCAGTGACTGTGATGCCTCCACTACAGTCCGTTCTGCGGACAGGCAGCATACTTAGCTGGAGTCTTCCTTGCTGGTTTGAAGCTCTCCTAGTTTTCTTTCCATTGTGCTTTGATTAGCGAGGCCCCGACGTTCCGTGAGGGTTGTCAGGCCCATGTCTCAAAAGTCCCACAGTTGGGAGAGTGTTGCAAAAAAGCAAGGTGGGGCTGGGCCCTTCTTCCCCAGGAGGTTTCCCAGGGAACGTTCTCTCAGATGGGGGGGGTTACCCCAATCCTTTCTTAGCCCACAGCTGATTTAAATCCCCCATTCCTCTGTGTGTTGTCTCTTTAAGGGACAATTCTGGGTTGAAAGCCACATTGTTTGGGTCCCTGTGGATCTTCCACTTTATCCTCCCAATAATGCGATGCTTTGGCTTAGGAAGCAAATGCTGTGGTTGAAGCAAAGGCTTTTCCATGCACTAGCGAGACCCAAGGCTCAGTATCCTCCGTTTTCAAACTTCCCTTTGGGCTTGTTTCCGACCTTCTCTCCTCTTAGAGTTCCCAGAGTTTATGGAATCGACTTTCAGTCCTCCTGAACCTGCTTCCTTCAGCTGGAGACCTGCAAGATTCAGGTACCCTTCTAAGAAACTCTCCTTTCTTCTTTAATTATTTCCCCCCTCTCTAAATATACGTTGCCTGTGCAGTTCAACCCTCACTATTTGCTTAACGGTTTCGTGCTTCCCCTCACCTTTATGCTCCCATTCTCCAAATTTGCTCTTTGGCACAAGCAGGAAGTTTTGTTTCATTTTTTCATTTCTTGCAGCCTCTCTCAAGCGTGCTTGGCAGGTAACATTCAAAAACATCTCTAGTAGCAGAGGTTGTTCCTTTGTTTTTGAGGACACACCTAGCTGACAAATCTTATCTGAAAGGGCTTAAGCCTAGTTAGTAATGGGATGGGAGACCACAAGAAAATTCTAGAGCTAGAGGGTAGACTGGGAAATGAAGACAACATCTCGGAAGAGGTCAGTGGCAAACCATTGCCATATTGTTGCCAGTGGACATATCTATGTAGTCACCAGGAGTTCAGCTCGACCTGGGGGAGAGTTGCTTTTTACTTTTGTTCGTGAGGAAGAGCTTCTCACCATTCAGTTGGAAAAGCTGCTCTCTCTTCCGACCCTACCTGTTTGAAAAGGGCAAAGCTCCTAATCTCCCTGTTTCCATGTGTATATGAGAGATCAGATGTTGGGCTACGTTGGGGAGACCTAGGATCACGTCTGCTGTCAGCTGCAGCCCATTTCACAAAGATGTTATTACGGGGACAAGTGAGGAGAGAGAACTCCATGTTGCTTCTGGAGGAAGGAGCTCTTGGCACATAAATGTAATGAACTCTAGGAATGGTGATAATGAGTCAAAACAAGATGGTTTAAACTGTGCTGTCATCTGACCTTGGTACAAAACCTCATGTGAATGAAACCTAGAATTGACACAGAAGAGACGTCCAGAGAAAGGAGCTGCTGACCTTTCAGTGATTCTAACATTACCTGTTTGGTACAGACCGCGTCTGCAGATTGACCTGGAATCTGCCATGAGATAGATTTTTCTGGCTATCTGGGCTAAAGGGAACATCCCACATTGGCAGCGTCCGTCTCTCAACTCTGAGACTCTGCCTCTTGCTGAAAAGGATGGCAGCTGAGAGACAACAAGTGCCCAGGAGAAATGAACTTTTAAAAGATTTTTCCTCTCTCTAAGCCCTGTCGGTAACCATGTTCCTTCCTCCCTGTGATGTAGGGATGTTTCTCTGCAACGAGGTGAAGACCATGTTGCCAGGCTGCGAACTTCCCGACTTGAGTGCTTGCTTGCTTCTCCCAGAAGACGTGGCCCTCCGTAACCTTCCCCCATTGAAGAGCGCACACAAGAAGTTCAACTTTGAGCAGGACAGGCCTGTCCTTACAGAAGTGGAGGAGGTGATGGGGGTTCCTTCTTTTTAATTCCAACAGTTGGATTTGGGTTGAGGTGAAGACCAGAATGGGGGAGGATAAAGCCCACCGCCACTTCAAATGTGGCTGGCCAACGTCTGTACCTAAAATAACTGGAATTGTACGGAGGGCTCTTCCACACTGTTCAAAGCGGGGATGTTTCTCAAATCTGACCAACCTTGCAAGGCAGGTCTTGTTTACCAGAAGCCCCTCTTTCTTGACAGCCCCTCTGCCTGCTGACTGCAGTGTGCAGTGTGAGCTCAGGCTGGGCCGAGCCTGTTACTTGCTCTCTTGCTCATCTCCCTCCAAGTCCAGCTGCTTCTGCAGCCTTCTCCTTGGCTTACTCCCCTGCTGCTCTCCTGCCTAAAGAAGGCAATTTCTTCTCCCCTCACAGTCTGTGGTCCGTGTCTGTTGCATTCGAAGCTTCGGCCACTTCATCACCCATTTGCAAGGCAGCATCCTGCAGTACAACTCCGAAGTTGGGATCTTCATAAGCATTGCGCAATCGGAGCAGGACGGGCTGCTCCAGCAGGCCCAGGCCCAGTTCCGCATGGTGAGCCTTTGGGGGAAACAGTGGGGCGAAGCAGATGCGGGCAGGGAAGGGCCAGTTGATCTGCCATGTAACTAGTCACAAAATTTGGTTCCTCACACAACTCCCCATCTAGAGAATTGGTTGCTTTTTAAATGGAGGCATTCCTTGGGATTTGTAAGAAGCTTGTAAACAATGAGGCATTTGGTGAAATTGCGAGGGGTGACAGGATTGTGTGGGGCTGTTAGTTAAAGGGTGTATCTTTCATCCTCTTTTTCACTCTTTGTCCATTCTTATCTTTATGGGAGGATATTGTTTTTGGTAATGTTTCTGTAAGTCTGGATAGAAGTATACATATAGATATGTGTGTGTTTATACACGCGCGGGCACGCACACACACACACACACACACACACATAAATGAGAGGGATTCCTGCCTGGGGGTGCTTGCAGTCTAAACTTCGTGAGTCCAGTTACTGGAAATGCATACAGGAAGCTGCCCTTAATTGGTGTGTTGTTTCAGCAGACAGTCAAGACTGAGGAGTTGAACCAAAGGCTTGGTGGAAGAAGAGGAGGGTAGTTTGATGAGGTATTGAAGGCATTACACTTCAGACATGTGAGGAGCAAGGAAAGAAGAGGAACACACCTGTTGGGGGGCGAGCATGGGAAGAGGAATTGTGGGCAGAAATGGGAAGAGTTAAAAAGGGGAAGAAAGCCCCCCCCCAAAAAATAAAAGCACAGAGTCTGCATGGGTGCAGAGAAGAAAATCAGTTCATTTTGATTGACAGGAATAGGTGCTTTATCAACATGCCCTCTACAACTATCTGATCCTACCTTAGTTCTCTCTTGAGTTTATTTCTTACTGTACGCATGAGACTAGGTAAACTTGGAACTGTAGCAGGATCCAGCCCAAGATGACGTCTTTCTTGATCTTTAAAAAATTTTGTGGGCGCATATTTTGTGTGGTCAGGATGGCTAAACAACTACTGTACATTATCTGGTATCTGTTAGAGAATTAAGCATTACATGAATTCTGGCTTTTGATTTAGAAAAAAGTGAGGGCATGTTTCAAGCCAGGATGGATGATCTGTTTGTATGTCAGTCAACTCACCTCAGTCAACATAATTTCCCTCCATATCCCCCCACCCCCAAGCCTCTTCTAGGAGAAAAATCTTCACAATTGACTTTTCTTTGAGAGCAGTATTCTAAAGGTGTATCTCCTAGAGATGACCTCTAGATTGCATTTGGGTTCTAATAATTGGGAAGTGGAGTTGTCACCATCAAAAAAGCAAGTTAATTTGGTGTGCCCCGTCTTCCTCCTCCTAGGCTGCTGAGGAAGCCCGCCGGAACAGGCTGATGCGAGATATGGCCCAGCTTCGGCTGCAGGTACAGGAGTGGGCTGAGGGGGGGAGGAAGGAGGAACGGGTGGGACTGCTACGCGTCTGTCTGGACCAGGATTTTACTCTCAGATCCACCCTCCTGGGCTGGGAAGGAGTCTGCCTCGCCCAAGTCTCTTTTACTATTTATTTATTTGATTTGACTTATAAGGCTGCCCATCTGGTGAAGCAACTTTGGGTGGCAAATGCAATTAAAGTATCAACGTAATAAACACCAGAAAAAAATTAAAAAGCATCTAGCAAAACAGAGAGGCAAAGAATGGCAACTGAGGACAAGTTTATCAGTAGTAAATGAGTGGGCTTCATAGCTTCAGCTACTTTCTGAGCCCATGCCCAGGAGAATCAGAACATGGTGGTATTTTATGGAGTTCCCAGCGGAGCGCAAAAGAGGACTTGGCGGCCAAAGACTTTCATCTTTTATTATCACAGAAGCTTCTGTGGATCACAGTCTGTTCACTGGATGCAGGAAGTTTAATCCTGAGAAGAGAGTCTTACCCAACTGTTGCTGGAGGAGGAGAGAGGAGCTTATGTGATAATAAATTGGTTCATTTTTAAGGCGTCATGAGACTTGGTTATGTGTGCTGCAAAAGACCACCACGTGTTTGGGGGGCACCTCTGTCCTTGAGGTTCTGGAAGGTTGATGCAGATATGGCACCAGCTAGCTCAGTATTGTCCTCCCTGGGTGGTATCCTTCACAAGTTCCCATATATGCCACTTGTAGAAGCGGAGCATGAAGACTCGGCTCACACCACATGCTAGGATAAAGTGGGACTGGGTCATTTGTGGCTCAAGTGTTGGGAGAACACAGTCCTTACTGTAATAGCACCTTATGCAAACCAAGGCAGCATGTTTAATCCATCATGTGATTTGCTGGTTTGGGCATAGCGTGTTACATGAACCCAGCTATACAGCTAGGACTTCATTAATACTGATAACGAATCCCACAAAATAGTTACATTATTCAAATAGCACTATTCAAAGTGATATTTCTATGGAAAATAGGGTAACTGGGTCCAGTTCAACGAAAATAGGCAATGAAAATTTTTAAACATAAATGCTTATATGTTTATTAATTAAATATTACAGTAAAAGATTAAAAGAATATACTTACAATTTAAATTTATTTTTTAACAAAGTCACAGATAGAAAACAAAATAAAAATTCTAAATATCATTCCTGAAGGTGAGCTTGCATTGAGAAAAGCATCTTTATTGTCTTTCAAAATATTTGAAAGTGTTTTTTACTGCTTTTGAATGGATTATAACCTGCCATGAGCTCTAGATAGATCTCATAAATGTTGAAAATAAATAAATCAAGTGAACAATGGACAAGCTGGAGAATAAACCCATATCCAAATCATACCTGCTATCTCTTGTATTCTGCTGTAGTTCTTCAAAATGACCCTCTTCTCTTTCGGGCTTTCCTTGAACGGAACCTCCCTTTTCTCCATTTTGCACAGATTATGATTAGCATTTAAAGCCCCAATGGCAGCTGTGCACGCACTAGCCTCAACTATGTGCGCACTAGCTTCACATCAACTGAATTTTGGCTCGCATTAAATGTGACCTAGTATCAATTTATAATTCACACTAAATCAAATGTGTCACTATTCGAATTCACATGAATTGCAACCTACCTGTAATATTGTTTTAACTCTGGATGAGGTATTGTATCATCCCAGCTGAGAAGATGGGACTTGAGAGGGCGTTGTGTGCTTGCATGAAATAAGTGTCCACCTTTGTTGCTATCTCTTCATCTGCTGAGTTGCAAGGAGCCAACTTAGGTGTGACCTTTCTACTTAGAGCTTCTTTTTTAAAGACTCCTGTTTCTACCACCCCCCTCAGCTGGAGGTGTCACAGTTGGAAGGCAGTCTCCAGCAGCCCAAAGCTCAGTGTGTGATGTCTCCCTATCTGGTCCCGGACACCCAGGCCCTCTGCCAGCATCTCAGCCCCATCAGGCAGCTGGCCGCCAGTGGAAGGTTCATTGTCATCATCCCGCGGACAGGTAAGCAGAACTTGCCGTTGGTAGAGTGGGAGTCTGAAGCAGAATAAATCCCTTTTAGTAGATTTGGCCAAGGGAAGTTATCTGTACCAAAGTATTGCTGTCTGGACGGGAGAGAAAGGTTTCTGAGGGAGCTGGACAGTGGAGGCGTGGCTTTAGGACCATTTCTGGCCCCACTTGGGACTCCGGAGGCTGCAGGAGGGGGGAGGGCAGTGTGCTTAGAGCATAGTCCTAAGAGTTACAGGTTACCCACCATTGTTAAAGAGGAAGTAGCAAAAAGAATGTCTTTGCTCTTGTTTCCTACTTTTAGTCATTGATGGCTTAGACTTCCTGAAGAAGGAGAATGCAGGAGCTCGTGATAGCATCCGATACTTAGAAGCAGAATTTAAAAAGGGAAACAGGTAGGTTGTCCTGTCTCTATCCTGCTTTTTCCTCCACATCTTCATGAGAAAAAAAACAATCTGGATGAGAAATCAGACAAATATCTTGGGTAAGCTGCATTCCAGTGGAACAAAACTTGAAAGCCAGAATGTAAAACAAGCTATTTGCTTCCTTATTTTTCATTGATTGGATGGTAGTTTTTGCTGAGGGCTACTTACTCTCCAAACCCCAGGAGAAAGTAGCCATGGGAATGTTTTTTTAAAAAAAAAAATTAAAGTAAGCCACATTCCAAAAACTGGATATTTCTTCAGGTGGCTTCCTATGGTAGAATACTCAAAACTATTAATTGGAATGAAATGGACTTGTTTTGTCCAGGACTTAGGAATACAATTTATAGCCTCTTTTACAGTTGTCCTGTGAACTAATTCTACACCTTGTTATTGTGATACTAACATAAAATCAACATACCTGAAGCAAATTTAGCTTATTATCCCTTTTAGGCCACAGAACAGCAATGGAATGAATTAATTGGTATATCATAAAAACAGTGTAGTGTAAAATAATTTCTAACCAACAATTGATTTAATCAGAAGTTAAGTGGAGTTTTAAAAAATATATCCTTAAAATCTGCTGAAAGAGGAGTCAAACAGAGTTCTTGGAATAAATAATGCAGAAACGTCGTACATTACTTCTGCATTACTACTGCACCCCAGAAGCACTGATTTTTTTTTGAGATGCTGAGTATTTTTTGACATATCCTCATATAAGACCTGCAGCTCTCAAAAGGCACAATGTAGATGTTGTTGTTAGTAGCAGCAGCAGCAGCAATACTACTGATTTTGGTTATGTGCCATCAAGCGTTGACTCTTAGACAGATTTTCTCCAAGAGATTTGTCCCTAACCTGATCCTTCACTGTAACTTCTAACAGTGCTCCCATCACCACCGTAACTGAGACTATCCGCTTTGCTGCTGATCGTCCCCTTCTTCTCTCTCCTTCCACCTTTCCCAGCATTAGCCTTCTCTAGAGATCTAGATCTTTGCGTAATATCTCTGAAGTATGATCACTTTGAGCCTGGCCACTTGTGCCTTGAGCGAAAACTGGAGGTTGATTTGTTCGGTGACCCATTTGTTTGTTCTCTTGATATTCTCGGAGCTTTCTCCAACGCCAGATTTCAAAGGCATCAATATTCTTTCTTTCCTGCTTGTTCAGAGTCCAACTTCAGTTTCCATAGAGTGTCACGGGGAATATCTTGGCTTGCACAGTTCTGACCTTTGTAGGTGCAGAGACATCCCAGCATCTGAATCTCTTTCCCAAGGCCTTCATGGCTGCTCTGCGGCTCATTTCTTGACTGCTGGTTCCTTTACTGTTGATAGCTGATCCTAAAAGGGAGAAGCTCTCCGCCATATTTTCATTGTCAATTCTAAGGCCAACTGCTGTACCTCTTATCACTGGTTTGGCCTTCCTTATATTTAACCTTAGTCCCATTTTTTCACTGCGCTCCTTGACTTTTGTTACTAGAGCTTATGGATCATTTGCATTTTCAGCTATCAGAGTAGTGTCATCACTACTACTACTGTTATTCTCTCCTGTGATCTTCTCTCCAGGTACATTCGCTGTCAGAAAGAAGTTGGAAAAAGTTTTGAGAGGCATAAGCTGAAAAGACAAGATTTAGATGCTTGGTAAGCACGCAATCTCGATTCCTTAGCTCACATAATATTTCTTCGGGGAGGGAGAGTACCTGGACTCCACACCTCCCTGGTCATAGTAACTCAGACTCCAGTTGCCATTCGTTACTTTGGAGCCAAGCTCATTGCAGCCAGAAAGTTGCTTTAAAGAAAAGATGAAGCCGAAAGTCAGGATCCACATCTCAGATGTGGGTCATTTTCTGCAGCTGGGTGGATGGAACAGGGGGGGGCACCTTGATTTCAAACTATAAGGCAGCCTTTTGCAATCTGGCATCATCTGGGAGTAACAGACTTCCACTCTGAGAAACCCCCAGCTAGGAAGACCTAGCTTCACAAGAATTCAGTAACTGAACTGGCTGTCCTGGTGAGAAAAGGTATGATGGTTTGCCTTGCTCCTGTAGGATCGTAGAATCCAGTATTCAGAACATCAGCCTTCCCCAGTCAAGCATCATTGAGCTGAGCTACCCTCATCCCCAGCTAGACTGTGCCAGATTGGGAAGCAGTGAGCTCTCAACTGCAGAGAATTGTTCCTGGCTCTTTTTCTCCTGCCCACTCTCTCATTCAGACCTCTTGTCCTTGATGTCCTTCCTCTTCACAGGAACCTCTATAAGATCTTGGACAGCTGTAAGCAGTTAACAGCTTCCCAGGGGGGCAGCGAAGATGACACAGCTGGCATGGTGACCGTCATCACCGGCTTCCAGCTGGATGATCCCAGCAAACTTTCTGCTCCCATGCAGGTGGGTGTGACCTTGAAACAACCAGCCTGGCCTCCTTTCTTTGCTTTTAAATGTGACTTGCTGAAAAGGAGAAAGCCTCCAGGAACGATGAATCAACCGGAGTGGCTACCACAGAATGTTTGCTTGCTTTATTTAAAAGGGAGGAAGAAGAGTTGGTCCATTAGGATGCGTGAAAAGATAGGAAAGAGGGAGGGAGTATATGGTGACTATTGTAGCACAGGTCATGGGAACCATCATGCAGTTTGCTATGATGGCCAGGGATATTCCCCCACCCTCCAAATTTAAAAAAAGAAACCTACACAAATCCCATGAGATCATCACATTGCCTCACTCCAAGTTCTTATGCAAGTATGCTGCAATCATTAAATTTCAGCTGTGTTTTTAATTATTTTTTAAAACATGTTCTTATTTATTGTGAAATGTTTAGGGAGTCTACAAATGCTGACTAGGGGTGTTCAAACTGTGTTTGTGTGAAGTTTGTGTGAGGTGTAAGTTGGAGCACAAATGACATTGAAAATAACTGGTAACAGGAAGGCTGGGCTCAAATCAGTGAGCCATTGCTTCATGCTGGGAAGTATAGAGGGAAAGATGGTGCCACCATTGCTACTGCTTGTAGCTCCCCAAGAATGCCTTGTGGGGAGACGAAAGATGAACTAGGAAGAAATTTGTGCAGGACTGCAACAGTAGTGGATTCCTGCCTGGAGCAGGGGTTGGACTAGAAGCTCTCCAGAATCCCCTCCAACCGTGACAGTCAGTCACTAAACCTTGAGGGTGGTAGAGCTGCAGGCTGGGACCTCCTCTGATCACTCGCTTGAATCCTTTCTCTTCTCTCCTCAGTCTGCAATCCAAGCAGCGGCCAGCGCCAGCATTGAAATCCAAAACGTTCTGGAATTCTACAAGCAGTGGAAGGAGATGGGCTGAGGGTCGAGGAACCTCCGGGTTGGTTGAAGCTCTGTCTCCCCGTCTCTTGACGCACAACATTGGAATGAAAGATGTCAACTGCAGGCGATATTTGGACACGACGCAACTGCCGCTGCCTTAGCAGCAGCAACCCACAAAAACGAGCAATCGGGTGTGCGCCCAAACACAGGCGTGTGCGCGCGCACACCTGCGCAACTGCCCCGCCGTCACCTCCCCTCCCACAGAGGAGGTGGCATGCGTGGGGACATCACAGCCCCTCTGAGAAGAGAGGTGCCTCTCGGCCGAGCCGAGGAGAGACAACGGGTGGGAGGGGGCTCCGTTCTAAATGCTTGCTTGGTTTCTTGTTGTCAGAAATGTGCAGGCAGCTTTGCTCCTGCACTTACAATGAAACAAAATGGAAATTCACTTGATGTTGCCACCATCTCCTCACTGCAGGAGGAAACCTCCAGAAGGGCCTACTAGATCCTATGTGGGTCAGGATTTGCAGAGGAGGCTCTTTTGGAAACTGGTGGTGGGGAAGTGGGCACGTTCTCTTCATCGTTTTTAATTTAATGTTCCGTTTTCTTTCCTACTCTGTTCCTTGGTGAGCTTCCCTGGTTTTGTGTGCCCCTTTGTGGGTGAGGCAGAGGGAGGGTGGGGCGCTGGTCAAACTTTAAAATCTTGGAAAGATGGCCAGGTGGCAAGGGAACTGAGAAAGTTTTAGGATGGAAGCTATTTATTTCCTCCCCTCCTCTCACCTCTCTTTCTCCACCTTACCTTTGTCCTTTTTTTTTAAAGCAAACCGTTCTCTCCTCTCCCTTTCCCTCTAAGCTGTCACTACCATTCCTTCCTTCTCTGCAGCCACCAAGCTTTGGCACACTGTCTGCCTCCCCGCTTCCTGGACGCAGGTCGTGAATCCTGCTTTTGTTTCGCTTTCCTTGCACAGAGAAAGGCCGGCCTCTGCAGCAGCTTCCCATAGTTGCCAAGAGGGACAGGAAGCTCAGTCCCTTTGTGTAACTTTTGGAGAAAGGAAAAGTTGCTTTCAAGATAAAAAGGTAGAGAAGAAAACTCCCACAGTATGCTTTAACCAGGGATTGACTGTTGAGCTTTCTCCCCCAGTATACGGTCCCTGTTTTCCTTTAGAAGGTAAGAGGCATGGAAGGATAAAGGAAATTCTAACACTTAAGATTCTGGGATGGATTTGCCCCACTAGATAACCAAAGGATCGGAACGAGGCAAGGTATTGGCAAACAATCCCCAACTCTTCTTAGGGAGTTGGATAAAGCATCTTCTTTTATGCCCCAAACACCACCAGAGGCGTCATCTTTGTGTTTTTGCTCTTAGCTTATTCTGACAGCTGGGGAGAAGGAAGGTGTGTTGCGGGCGTGGAAACCCACTTTTCCCAGTCTGCCCTGAGGGAAAGCCCCATGGCCTGGCCCTCCTTTGCCTAGATGTGGAAAGGAAGCAGGGGGCCTCCCGGCCCTGTGGATGTCTGCCGCCTGTTCGTTCGCCTTTTCCCGCACTGCTTTGTTCGACAGCAGAGACGATTCCACGGAGAGCCCTTGCCTTGGTCTCGCCATCAAACTGCATCGGAGCTTCGAGACTGGTAACTGGGCCTTGGGCTGCTGCTCTGCCTCTCTTTCCTGGCTTTTCCCCAGCTACAGTCCAAGGCCCTCCCTGAAGGAAGCTCTTCCCAGCTCCTTCCCTTTTGGAGTATCAGTCAGAGCAGCAGCAGGTTGGCTCTTCAGCTCTCATAGGGCCTCCCTACCTCCTATCGCAGAAACAAGGCACCCCGCCTAGCGTTGCTGTCAGCAAGGGTTGTGCAGATCAGTCATCTCCTGTTAATGGCGTTTCTGCTTTTCAGTTCTGGCAATGGAGTAAACCCTCCCTCCCCCCACCAAAAAAGGGATAAAAGAGAGAAGCCCCTCAACCTGCAGGGAGACTCGGGCTGGGCTGTCCTGTGGGATAGAAGCCTGAGTACGTTGGCTTGTAAAACATCTGCAGGGGAGCAAACAGCAATAGTCGACATTCATGGGGTGATCAGCACAATCTTGACATTGATTTAACTTGGGACTATGTTTTGGGGTGTGTGGGGGGACAAAGCTCATTCAGAAGGGACATTTTTAAAATAGTGCGTTGAGGGTCTTCACCCTGGTGACCCAAGGCTGGCGGTTTTGTCAGGTGCTTCTCTTAAAGTGCTTCTCTTGGGTGGTGGTGGTGGGGTGCATCGGTCTGAGCCATGGCTGGCGTATCTGTTGACAATGTCAGAGCAATTTTTTATTTTTATCGTTTTTGGAGCAAGGGAAATTGCATTGCCATAATAAACATTTGTGAAATCAGAGTCCTCTTTGTACCTTGAGGGGGAAGAGCAGCAAGGGCAAGGGTGTCCTGCAGGAGCTTTACTGCTTCACGTTCACCTGCACAGGTAGACAGGGCACCTTCTGGGTTCAATTGAGGGGGTCTGCTTAGGCTGCTTCGAGGTTTGTGGAGAAGCTTTGTCCCAGGTGGGGCAGAATAAACCAGTGTTTGTGGGCATGGAAGACTGTCGAAAAGCTAGCTATTTTTCACTGATCCACAGACTCGTCAAGCAACCAATTTCATGATGTTCATGGGTTTAGGAAATGCAAAATTAACACAAACCCACCTTACCTTTTGTCTGAAATGTAAAGGGAGGCATTTCTGCCTCATTTTCCTTGAGCTTCCTTGGAAAGTCTTAGTCCTTGTTGAACATGAGCCTCTTAGCCCTTCCCGATGGATCCTTAACCAGCTCCATCAGCCTCATGGCAAGACCAGGTGGGCTTCTTGTTTTAAAAACGAGAATCTCCAGCCAGAGGTTTGTTCTGCAGGACAGTTGTCTTTGGCCTGGTGCCCTCTGGGGCCTGCAGTTCCCAACTGTTGTAGCTGCTGGCTGGCTTGGCTTGGCTTGGCTTGGCAGCACTGGAGTTGGGCCATGGGTCCTGGAAGGCCTGGAGAAAAATCTCATTTGTGTTCCCTTCCTCTTGCCATGCAAAGGAATTGCCCTCCGTAGGCGTGATGGAGACACAGGTCCATGGCAGTTGCTAGTCAGCACTAAATGAGTTACAGCTTGCTTGGATCTTAAAAAGTGGTGCATCTCCTTGTCAAGACCTTTTCTGGTTTAAAGAGCTTAAGGTACCTGTTAAAAGCTCTCCCCCAAATTAGGCTCCCTTTTCCCATGGGGAGGATTTAAGGGAACAAAGCAGTGGTCTGAAATGGTTCTCACGGAGGCTATGGAAATACCTGAAATGAGATGATGCCGCTTACCGGAACCTTGGAAAGCAACCGGAATTGCTCTATTAACCCAGTGAGGCTGCTTGTGCAGATCCAGGCTCTCTGCTCTTGCAGAGGAATGCTTCAAGAACCGTAATAGCTCTGGTTGAAGAGGGAAAGGGAAACCCAGTGGGAATTTTTAACTGAATTTTTTATTTTATTTATTTATTTATCATATTTATATAGTTGCCCATCTCACACAAGGTGACTCTGGGCGGTGTACAACAATTAAAAACAAAAACATAAAAACAGCTACATATAAAAAACAGTAAAAACACACAAAAGAGGACGGGATAAAATTAATAAGGGAGCCATCGTAAAATTAAACTATTAAACTATTATCATTTTTCCATCACATGGATAATGGAGTTACCAAGTGTTTTCTGCTCTGCAGGCTTCTGATTTCAGTGGCATTTTGCCCAGAATATTAACCATGGTAGAATCATTGGTTGGAATGTCCAACCTGCTTGTTTGCCTTGTCCCATCCTTGCTGTGGCCACGTCAATCAACTTAATAACAATTGCAGCATATTTGTATTCTGGGCTTCCTGTACTTTATTGGGGAGGCTGGCCCTCTATTCTCCCTCCCTAGTTTTTGCTGATCCTTACGGGGAATGGAGTAGCGCCTGCTGCGCCTATCTGCAGTCTTCCGGGGAGGGTCACTTGAATGGTGATGCCGGGGACCAAAGAATTCTGACTTGGATTTTCATAAATTTGGCTTTGCTGGTGTCTGTCTCTATGTTGCACTGAGTGCCTGCCCCACCTAGGACCCCCCAGAGATGTGTGACTACAATGCCCACTGTCCTAATCAACATGGCCAATGAAAGTTACCAGGTCCCATGGAGTTGAGCAAGTGGTGTGGTGGTAGTGGGGGACGATTTGTTGGCGCTCCCTCCTCGAAGGAAATAGACCTTTGCGGATCTCAACACACCAAGCAGGCTCAAACTTGGTTAGATCCACAAAGCAGCTAAGGGCACACCCCTTCATTTACCTGCCAAGAAGGCAGCGTGGAAGCTTCAAGCAGGAGTCCATGAGAATTGGGGATGTGCTCATTTTTGCTCAGGCGTGACCTCCTTTGCTCTGTGTTTTAAACAAGCGTTGCTCAATGTTGGCGACTTCAAGATGCGTGGACTTCAACTCCTAGGATTCCGCAGTCAGGGAATCCTGGGAGTTGAAGTCCATACATCTTAAAACTGCTGAGGTTGGGAAACGCTTCTTTGAACCACACTCATGTTGGGCATTTGAAATCAGCCTTTTCGTGACCTCCATGATTGATAAAAAGCAGCTTGTTCAAAGTCTTGCTCAAGTGCAAAACCTGGAGCTTAGAACTGCTTCCTTCTAGCCCTGTCCTAGCTGCCTGGGGGCCTGGCTGTGGCTGGAGCCTTTGTGGCCAAGAAAGCAATGGCGTGGGTCAACTGGAGTCCCTGGAGCTAGGCTCCAGTGCAAAAAAGGTGTGGCCGGTGGTCCTCTTACTGGGGGGGGGGCTGGCCCAGTTTTGGAGGGCTGGAGAAGGGGCTTGGAAGGCCCTGGACTGCCCTCTTCTCTTAAGACCAAGAGTAATTAAAATGCATGACCCCAGAAGTTTGATGAGGTTTTGCGCCCTTTCCTTTAAAGCACAATGGGGGCTGGGGGAAGGAGGTACGGGACCTCGCTTTGCATTTCCCCTGAAGTCTTTGCCTTTCTCTGCAACGGCTGCTCTAGCAGCCAAAAAGGGCCACTGTGTCCTTAAATCACTTCATCGCTGTAGAAGTGCCCTGGCGTCTTTCCAGGCAGCGGAGCCGATCCCTCCCAACGGGAGTTTTTATTGGTCGGCTTCCTTAGCGAGGCTCAGCTGGTGATTTGGGGCGCGTTGCCCTCAAGAGTCTCTCTCCTGCAGGAGTTAGTGCCTGCCGTCCTTTTTGTAAACCAAAACTCCTAGGAAAAGTTGCATCAGTTGTGCGCGTGTGGGGTGTGTGTGTGTGTGATGGGCAATAAAAGTGCCCCCTTTACACATTTTTTTTGTGCTGCCATTCAGCCCAAGAGGAGTAAGAATTTGAGGTTAATGGCTTTCATAAAGGGGTGAAATGAGTCTCAGGTAGCCCAAAGCCTCTCTTGAAAGAAAATGCTATTTCCTTTCAGAATCAGACAAGGTATCTGAAAGAAATGAATACAACAGTAAAATTGAAAGTAAAACATCTGGATTAAGGTTAAAAATAAGAGAAGGGTAATGTCAATCACAATCAATTCACAATGGTAACAGATGGTCAGGTGGGAAATAGTTGTCTTTCCTGGTGTTCAGGAAGAGATAAAAATGAACAGTGGGAGGGAGGGAAGGAAGGAAGGAGAAAGAGAGAAAGAGAAAAAAAGAAAAAGAAAGAAAAAGAAAAGGAAAAAGAAAGAAAGAAAGAAAAAGAAAGAAAGAAAAGAAAGAAAGAAAGAAAAAACAAGAAAAAGAAAAAGATGAGTT